CGCGCGCCGCCCTGCCCTGCAGCCTGCGAGCCGCGCTGCCCTGCCCTTAGGCCTGCGTACCGCCCTGCCCTGCAGCCCAGCGCGTCGCGCCCTGCTGCCCTGCCCAGCGTGCGCCCCACTGCCGTGCGCGTCGAGCGCTGCTGCATCCCGCGCGTAGCGCCCTGTAGCCTGCGCGTCGCACCCTGCTGCCCCGCGCGTCGCGCCCTGCTGCAGCCCGCGCGTCGCACCCTGCTGCCCCGCGCGTCGCGCCCTGCTGCAGCCCGCGCGTCGCACCCTGCTGCCCCGCGCGTCGCGCCCTGCTGCAGCCCGCGCGTCGCACCCTGCTGCCCCGCGCGTCGCGCCCTGCTGCAGCCCGCGCGTCGCACCCTGCTGCCCCGCGCGTCGCGCCCTGCTGCAGCCCGCGCGTCGCACCCTGCTGCCCCGCGCGTCGCGCCCTGCTGCAGCCCGCGCGTCGCACCCTGCTGCCCCGCGCGTTGCGCCCTGCCGCAGCCCGTGCGTCGCACCCTGTTGCCCCGCGCGTCGCGCCCTGCTGCAGCCCGCGCGTCGCACCATGCTGCCCCGCGCATCGCGCCCTGCTGCCCTGCCCAGCGCGCGCCCCGCTGCCCTGTCCAGCGCGCGCCAAGCTGCCCTGCAGCCCGTGCATCGCGCTGCCCTGCCCTTAGGCCCGCGCGCCGCCCTGCCCTGCAGCCCGCGAGCCGCGCTGCCCTGCCCTTAGGCCCACGCACCGCCCTGCCCTGCAGCCCGCGCACCCTACTGGCCTCCACAGCCACAGCGACTACCGCTACTTCTACAGTTGCAGCTACAGCAGTTGCTGCTCACGCCCTTGCGCCGCTGCTACTGACTGCCACTGCCTGTCATGGCCACTCTCACGGTCGTAGCAGCGTCTAGGGGTGGACAGCAGTAGCCACTGCCTCACCCGGACACTCTATCACCACAGCAGATTTGTGACTGGGTTGTTCAGCAAGCCCATGCTGGTGGTGGAGGTTTTGGTTTTATGTATACTGGACAGCGGCGGCAGCGGCATCAGCAGGAGACCTTCTCCCCGCAGCGGCTTCGTGACTGTGTTTCTCAGCGAGGCGTCCCTGGTTGTGTAGAGGCTGCTGCACCAGGTGCTAGTGAGTCTGTTGCAGCTCTAGGTGCTACTGAGTCTGCTGCTGCTCTAGGGGCTAGTGAGTCTGCTGCTGCTCTAGGTGCTAGTGCGTCTTCCGCCACTGGTCCTGCCTTAGCTGAGGCCTTGCACACTTTCACACTTGACTCAGGCGCGTCACGTTGCTTCTTTCGTGATTGCACCACAGTCACACTGCTCACTGCACCTATCACGGTCTCTCTGGCTGACCCCTCTGGGGGCCCAGTCGTAGCACGTGCCTCCACCGTTCTCCCGTGTCTGGCGGCCCCTTCCGGCTCGCTTGCAGGTCTCCACCTCCCCTCGTTCACTGCGAACTTGGTGAGTAACGCTGTCCTCCAGGACCAGTTTGTCACTCTGACTACTCCTGGGGGTGAGCTTGTGGCGATCTGTACGGACTCACGCACTGGCGCCCACCTCGCCACGTTCACTCGGAGACCCGGGTCTGGCCTGTACACACTGACCACTGCGTCTGCACAGGTAGCTGCGTCAGGTCTGGTAGCTGCGTCGAGTCAGGTGGCTGCGTCAGATCCTGTGACTGCGTCGGGCCAGCTAGCTGCGTCTTGCTCGTGCAGAGTACTCACGCACCAGACTCAGCTCTGGCACCACCGACTTGGTCACCCCTCTCACCAGCGTCTGCGCAGCATGCACTCCCGTCTCTTTGTCTCTGGCCTCCTCAGGTCCCTGCCCCCCCTACCGCGCTCGCTTGCCCCGACGTGCCTTCCTTGCGTCGAGGGGCGGCAGCGCGCCGCTCCTCACTCCTCCTCGTTTCCTCCGACCACTGCTCGTCTGCAGACTCTCCACATGGACGTGTGGGGCCCAGCCCGGGTCAGTGGGACGGACCAGGAGCGCTACTTCCTGCTGGTCGTTGACGACTACTCGCGCTACACCACGGTCTTCCCCTTGCGCAGCAAGGCGGACGATACTGGTGTTTTTGATCCCCTGAATCCGCGCTGATCGTCACCAGCTGCGCGAGCGGTTTCGGCGGGACCTTCCAGTCCTGCGTCTGCACTCTGACAGGGACGGTGAGTTCTCTTCTGGCCTCCTTGCGGAGTTCTGTCGAGACCAGGGCATCCGCCAGACGTTCACGCTTCCGGCCTCTCCACAGCAGAATGGGATTGCAGAGTGCCGCATTGGCTTGGTGATGGAGGTTGCTTACACCTCCATCATCCATGCGGCTGCTCCCCAATTTCTGTGGCCGTTTGCGGTCCGATACGCCGCGCATCAGCTCAACCTCTGGCCCCGAGTCTCTTTGCCAGAGACCTCGCCCACACTTTGTTGGACGGGAGAGGTTGGCGATGCGTCGGCGTTTCGCGTCTGGGGCGCGCTCTCTCTTGTTCGCGATACCACCGCGAGCAAGCTCTCTCCTCGCACTCTCCGCTGCGCCTTCCTTGGCTTCCCCACCGACGCTCCAACGTGGCAGTTTTACCACCCTCGCTCGCGTCGCGTGTTCTCCTCCCAGAACGTCACCTTTGACGAGTCGGTCTGTTTCTACAGGCTCCACCCGCACGCGTCCCACCCGGTCCCCCTGGCGCCTCTCTTCCTAGTACGAGTCCCCCCCCCCCCCCGGTAGACACCCTCCCCCAACAGGGTCCTGCTCCCTCAGGTGTGTCTCAGGTAGACCCACCCCCCTTGGTTGAGCCTTTAGAGATCTCTTCTGACTCCTCTGGCCCAGCTGAGGGGGGTAACCCTGCCGCTAACGACACGGCGGCCACTCGCCGCTCTCCTCTCTTGGAGACCCCCCCTGGTTTTCCGCCTCGGCCATCTTCGCCGCCTCCGCAGCCTGCTGCTGTGGAGTCTGGTGCTGTTGCGGGTGGTGACACTGGTGGTGCGGGTTCTGGGGGTGCTGAGACAGGGGGTGCGGGTTCTGGGGGTGCTGCGACTGGAGGTGCTGAGACTGGGGGTACTGACACTGGGGGTGCTGCGAGTCCTAGTGGCAGTGGAGCCGTGGGTGACCCTAGTCGACTTGAGACGCTCTCGCCGCAGCAGATTCGCGAGTGGATTGTTCAGCGAGGCCGTCTCGGTGGTGGAGGTTACGGTGTTACCGCTTCTGGAGCTGCTGGTGCTGGAGGTACTAGAGGAGCAGCTGGTGCTGGAGGTACTAGAGGTGCTGTTGGTGCTGGAGGTGCTGGAGCTGCTAGTCCTGGAGGTACTGGAGGTGCTGCTGGTGCTGGAGGTGCCGGAGCTACTAGTCCTGGAGGTGCTACTGGTGCTGGAGGTGCTGGAGCTGCTAGTCTTGGAGGTACAGCTGGTGCTGGAGGTGCTGGAGCTGCTGGCACTGGAGGTACTGGTGCTGCTGGCGCTGGAGGTGCTGGAGGTGCTGCTGGAGCTGGAGGCGCTGGAGCTGGAGGTACTGGAGGTACTGGAGTTGCTGACCATGGAGGTGCTCGTACTGGAGGTGCTGGAGCTGCCGGAGCTGGTGGTGCTGCTGGTGCTGGAGGTGCTGCTAGAGGTGCTGGGGGTACTGGAGCTGCTGGCACTGGAGGTGCTGGTGCTACTGGTGCTGGAGCTGCTGGAGCTGCTGGTCCTGGAGGTGCTCGTACTAGAGGTACTAGAGCTGCCGGAGCTGGTGGTGCTGCAGGTGCTAGAGGTGCTACTGGTACTGGAGGCGCTGGAGGTGCTACTGGTGCTGGAGGCGCTGGAGCTGGAGGTACTGGAGGTGCTGGAGCTGCTGGTCCTGGAGGTGCTCGTACTAGAGGTGATGGAGCTGCCTGAGCTAGTGGTGCTGCTGGTGCTACTGGTGCTGGAGGTGCTGGAGGTACTGCTGGTGCTGGAGGCGCTGGAGCTGGAGGCACTGGAGGTACTGGAGCTGCTGACGGTTCGAGTACTGCGCCGCGCCGACCGTTTTTCCCGCAGCCGCAGTCGTCCCTTCCACCGCCTGACTCAGCCCTTCGCCAGGTTCTTAGTCTCCCGTCTTCCACTGGCCTCACTCCACCTCTCCTGTGTCCACCGACAGACCAGTCTTAGCCACAGCTACTGCCTTGCTCCCCGCTGCCTGCTCCTGCTCCTCACACTGGGGTGACTGAGTCCCTGACTGAGCGTCGTGAGCCTGAGACTCGTGCTTCCACACCTGTTCGTGCTCGTCGTGTCGCCCGTCCTCGTCCTCGTGCTGTCCCAGGCACTCACGGTATGGCGCTTCGTCCTTCCTCTGTTCCACAGCGTGTTGTCCTGCCTGAGCCTCCCGCGTCCTCTCTTCCGCACGTCCCCGACCCTGCGTCCGACCTTGCTCGTGCTGCCAGTCCTACTGTCACTCGTCTCCTATTGAGTCACAACGGGCCCAGATCCTAGCAGTGCAATTTCAGCCGCCCACACGCTGCAACATTCGGCCGTTTGGACAAAGTCACTATTGTCCATCCAATGGACGGTTTTATAAAATTGTGCCATCACTATTGTCCATCCAAGCCATTGTTCCATGATCTTTGTTAAGACCCGGGGCTTTTAGACGGGGTACCGTCATCACCCGGATATAAGACAGTGTTGAACAGAAGACAGAGGGTGTCTTTAGAACGGGTGTCTCTTGATTAATAGACACCTGTAGCCTACAGGCTGTAGGTGTGTACGAGTTAATGCAGTGTCTTATAAAGAATACCCTAGTAGGGTTTAGGGGTAATCTTATAACGAGGGGGTATCTTCTAAACGGTTCTTTGCCCATTTATAAGACTTATAAGCCACCCTGAACAGTCCCAAATACAAGACAACCCAAGCATTTTTTCTAGTGTATAAGATAAGACATATATCTCTTATACCCGGACGATTACGGTATGTATGACATTGTCTCATTTCAAATGGCTTTAGAACAATCAAAACCAAGCTAGCATGTCATAAATCTAGCTGAAAGCCAGTGTAGGGCGCATGTCACTCCCCTTTTTCGCCCCTCTCATCCCTTGCTCGCCGCCACAGACTTTGCCGAAGCAATTCGGCGCAGAGCAGCAGCTTCTCTTGGCATGGTGGCATCCACAAACGCTGAGAACCTCGACGTCCTCTCCTGCAGCAGCGCCACCGGCGAATCAAGCTCTGCCACCTGTCCATCCTCGAGCAGCATGACCCGGTGGCAGTCCACAATGGTGTGCAGGCGGTGGGCGATGGTGATCACTGTGCACGCTGCAAACGCCCCTCCCCTCACCGCTGCCTGCACCGCCGCGTCTGTTGCTGTGTCCACATTCGATGTAGCCTCGTCCAACACAAGCACATGCGAGCGCCTCAGCAGTGCGCGTGACAGGCACAGCAGCTGCCTCTGCCCCACACTCAGGTTGCCACCACCCTCCGCCACCTCAGCGTCGAGCTGACCTGGCAACGCCCTCACCGCATCCGCCACGCCGGCTTGCGTCAGCGCCTCCCACAACTCCACATCCCCTCGCACCCTTCCACCATTGCCCTTCCCCTCCGTATTCCACCCATTCCTCGCTTCCTGCTCCCCTCCTCCGGCCCCTTCAACAGCAGTGTAGGGATCAAGGTTCCACCGGATGGTGCCGGAGAAGACCACCGGGTCCTGTGGCACCAGGGAGAGGCGCGACCGCAAGTCCCACAGCCCAATGCTCGCAGCATCAACACCGTCGATCACTATCCTCCCTGCACTCAGCTCCACTATTCGATACAGCGCCATGGTTAGCGTCGTCTTTCCGCTGCCCGTGCGACCACACACGCCCACTTTTTCACCTGCTCTAATCGAGAAGGTGAGTCCTTTCAGCACGGGGGGCAGCTCCGGGCGGTACCTCGCCACCACTCCCTCTGCCTCTATCACTCCTTGCTGCGGCCAGTCCGCAGGCGGGCGGCGACATTCGACCACATCTGGCGCCTCGGTGGGCAGAGTGGTGTACTCGAGAATGCGCTCCACAGCGTTCATCTGCGACTCCAGCTCAGCATTCATCCTGACCATCCAATTCATGTACCCCGTGATTGACAATGCACTCGTCAGCGCCAGCCCCGCAAAGCCAGCAGCCCACGAGCCCGTGCTGCTGCCGCTGCCCCCACCAGCCGCCGCTGCTGCCGCAGCAGCAGCAGCAACACCACCGACGACGCAGAAGCACGCGGTGGCAAACACACTCGCCGCGCCGATCAGCTCCAGACGCAGCCCGAGCCAGCGGTTGGACGCCATGGCTGCGAGGTAGGCCTGCGAGGCGCGGTCGAGGTTGAGGCTGTTGCGCGCGGAGAAGGCGCGCTGGCGGCGGAAGGCGCGGACGGTGGAGAGGCCGGTGAGGGTCTCGCTGAAGTGCGCGAAGATGGGCGAGCGGGCCAGCGAGTCGATGCGCTTGAGCTCACGCGAGGCCGCGATGTAGACGGCCTGAATGCGGCGGTAGAGGAGGAGCAGCGGGATGAGCGGCAGGAGGAAGGGCGGTGTGACGATGACTATCACCACGATGGCAAAGACGACCTGCCAGGGGAGGAGAAAGGGGTTTGGGGGGAATAGTCGGGGAGTGGGGGAAATAGGGGGAATGGGTGGGGAAGCCAGGAGGTGCATGAAAGCAGGCGAGGTGACGCTCATAGGCGTGGTGACATGATGGATGGAGGAAGGTGCAGTTGGCATTCAGCAGGTGCATTTGCATCATTCAGCAGTTCACCATGTGGAGGCAGCGGGAGCAGACCTGGAAGAGGCAGGAGAGGTAGGAGAGCAGCGTGTCGGGCAGCTGCAGGTCCATCTGCTCCATGTCGCGTGTGAAGCGGTTCAGCAGGCGGCCGGAGGGCTGTGAGTCAAAGAACGCCATGGGCAGGCGCAGCACTCGGGCGAGCAGGCGCGAGTGCAGCGAGCGTGCTGCTGTGAGGCAGCCCAAGGCAAGCAGCACCCCGCGGAGGGAGGAGAGGAGCCCCGTGGCCAGAGTGGCGAGGCTGTAGACGAGCTGGTGCGAGGAGCGAGGGGGCAGGGGAGAAAATGTGGTTGAAGAAACACACAGCCTGTGCGATGCGTCACAAGATAAGAAAGAATGGAGCAGAGGGGTGAGGCAGAAGCAGCAACAAGGCAGGAGGCGTACAAGGAAGAAGGGAGCAGAGGAGGAGCCTTGGGAGGTCTTGGCGGTCCACACAGCGAGCCAGGCATCACTGGCCACTTTGAGTGACTGCGACACACCAAACACCGCCAGCACCGCCACCGGCATGAGCCAGCCCGCCCGCCCACCCCACGCCCTGAGGTACTCCCAGTACACGCCTGCTGCCACCCCGCCCTCTGCTCGCCCCTCCTCCTCCACCAGCTGCCCCACCGCCCTCTGCTTCTTCCCACCCCCTGCAGTGCCACCGCTGCTGCCTGCGCTGCCACTACGAGCAGGAGGGGCGGTGGTGCTGGCTGCTGGATGTGTGGATGTGGAGGAGACAGCCAGCAGTGGGCGTGTGAGGTCGTTGTCACTCTCTGAAGCACCGCTGCTATTGCTCGTGCTTCCACCAGCCGCATCCCCTGTGCTGCCGCTGCCGCTGCCGCTGCTGGGCCTATGTGCCGCATCACTGCTGCGTGCAATTGGCTCGGGTGCTGTCGCAGTAGTGAGAACGGGTAAAGTAGCAGCAGCAGGGCCGTCTTGCCATGTGGCCTTGCCTTGCTCATCCAGCTCCTGCTGCTTCTCGTCCCACAGTGCCAAGTCCACGCCCCTGATGGGCCAACCACATGAGAGCAGGCAAACAAGAAAAGAGAGCATGAGAGCATGAGTTGGGGCGTCTGCAGAATCGGCCCTGCCAGGTGCATGGATTTTGATGCAACTTATTTGCCCGCGATTGGGGAAGGCAATTGACAGCCACAAACGATGTCAAAACGCCTGTGGGTTCGGCGTTGGTCTGAGACGCACACGAGGAGCAGGTGCATGCGAGAGAGGCATGCACAGGACAGGTCGCATACACATTGTGCAATACGCCTGCTCCCACTGCTGCTAGCCGCTGCTGCCGCTGCTCCGGGTCGAGCCTAGTGCTTGCCTGAGAGCTTGCCTGAGAGCTCACCTGAGAGCTTGCCTGAGAGCTCACCTGAGAGCTCACCTGAGAGCTCACCTGCCCTGCAGCTCGTCAAATGTGCCCATGGCAGCCACATGGCCTGCTCTGATGACGATGATGACATCAGCATGAGATGCATACTGCAGCTGATGTGTCACCAGCACACGCGTGGTCCCCGCCAGCTCACCACAGATGCACTCCGTGAACAGGTGGCGGCCTGCGAGAGGAAGATGGAGTAGAGCATGCATGGCAATTGGAGCAAGGGAGGCCTGTGTGCAGTGATTTGCTTGTCCAAGGACGGCACTCATACTAGTTCAGTGCTTCCCTCATGCGATCCAATAGCTCGTTGCCATGTTCTTGTGTGACGAAGCATTCAGTACGACAGCCATGACACACCATGCTCTGCAGACCACACCCACCCACACGCCAAGCACCCACTCCCACCCAAATGTAATGCCATACAATGGCAAGCACACTGCAACATGCCAAGGCAAGCACGCACCCACATGCCATCTCATGCCATGGTATACACCCACGCCCACCCACATGCTTTTGCCTTGCCATGCACGCACCCACGTGAGTGTCGACGGCACTGAGCGGGTCGTCCAGCAGCACCACATCGGCCCGCGCATACACCGCCCTTGCCAGCGCCACTCGGTGCTTCTGCCCGCCCGACAGGTTGATGCCTGGTGGGTGGATGGGATGGATGGGATGGCAGTGAGGGCGGATAGCAGAGGAAGGTGGAGGAATCGCAACAGCTTGTTGCCCAGGTGAGGTCAGCAGCATGCCAAGGAAATCAAATCATGGTTAAGCAGAGAAACGGGGAGCGATAGGTAGATGGATTGGCTAACTACTGTTTGGAAAGGGCAGACAGTCAGCAACAACAGTGAGCAAAGTATCAACAGTGGCAACTCTACACCCAACAGGGATGCCCCTCAACAACTAGCCTGGCAGGCTAAGGCGAGTAGGAGAGAGGGACGGGAAGGGAGGGAGAGGGGAGAGAGGGTAATTGATGTGTACTCACACCGCATGGTAGTGGTATCACATAAATATCATTGGGGTGATACACTAAAGTCAAATGTAATACCAGTGGGCACAATGGTCAATGCGTGCTGAGCAAGTGGACCAATATTTCACAACCAGGGTTTCACTTGTGGCTTTGTAGGTCGAACGCATGCATGCCAGCAAGCCACCGCCACGGAGGCAACACCAGCTCTCCGACCTGGCGCATTCCGACCGTGTCAATCCAAGAGCGCCTGACACGTGCCTCAACCAGCCGCTCTTGCCGACTCGGGTCCATGCAACTCTTTACAGAGCATTTAAAAGCACGCCCCGCAATCATCTGCAGCACACACACGCACCTCGCTCGCCGATCTCAGCCATGTCACCACCGGCCAGCATGGCGAGGTCGTGCCTCAACGCACACACGTCTATGGCTCGCTGATACCGCCCCTCGTCCACCGCTGCTGCCGCTGTGTCGCCCGCCGCCCCCATAAGGATGTTGTCGCGCACGGTGGCGTTGAGAATCCACGGGTCCTGCCTTGGCGCCATCACAGCATGCAGAATGGTGAGCAGGGTGCACGTGGCGATGAGGCTGACAGAGTCTGCCATAGCCTGCTGCAAAAGCACTACCTTTTGTCCCACCAGCCTGCCATGCAGCATGCGGTAACACTCGCATGTCACCACATCACCATGCGCATGCATGTTACCACATCACCATGCGCATGCATGTCACCACATCACCATGCGCATGCATGTCAACACATCACCATGCGCATGCATGTCACCACATCACCATGCGCAGCGCATGCATGTCACCACATCACCATGCGCATGCATGTCACCACATCACCATGCGCATGCATGTCACCACATCACTATGCGCATGCATGTCACCACATCACCATGCGCATGCATGTCACCACATCACCATGCGCATGCATGTCACCACATCACCATGCGCATGCATGTCACCACATCACCATGCGCATGCATGTCACCACATCACTATGCGCATGCATGTCACCACATCACCATGCGCATGCATGTCACCACATCACCATGCGCATGCATGTCACCACATCACCATGCGCATGCATGTCACCACATCACCATGCGCATGCATGTCACCACATCACCATGCGCATGCATGTCACCACATCACCATGCGCATGCATGTCACCACATCACCATGCGCATGCATGTCATCACATCACCATGCGCATGCATGTCACCACATCACCATGCGCATGCATGTCACCACATCACCATGCGCATGCATGTCACCACATCACCATGCGCATGCATGTCACCACATCACCATGCGCATGCATGTCACCACATCACCATGCGCATGCATGTCACCACATCACCATGCGCAGCGCATGCATGTCACCACATCATCATGCGCATGCATGTCACCACATCACCATGCGCATGCATGTCACCACATCACCATGCGCATGCATGTCACCACATCACCATGTGGATGCATGTCACCACATCACCATGCGCATGCATGTTACCACATCACCATGCGCATGCATGTCACCACATCACCATGCGCGCATGCATGTCACCACATCACCATGCGCAGCGCATGCATGTCACCACATCACCATGCGCATGCATGTCACCACATCACCATGCGCATGCATGTCACCACATCACCATGCGCATGCATGTCACCACATCACCATGCGCATGCATGTCACCACATCACCATGCGCATGCATGTCACCACATCACCATGCGCATGCATGTCACCACATCACCATGCGCATGCATGTCACCACATCACCATGCGCATGCATGTCACCACATCACTATGCGCATGCATGTCACCACATCACCATGCGCATGCATGTCACCACATCACCATGCGCATGCATGTCACCACATCACCATGCGCATGCATGTCACCACATCACCATGCGCATGCATGTCAACACATCACCATGAGCATGCATGTCACCACATCACCATGCGCAGCGCATGCATGTCACCACATCACCATGCGCATGCATGTCACCACATCACCATGCGCATGCATGTCACCACATCACTATGCGCATGCATGTCACCACATCACCATGCGCATGCATGTCACCACATCACCATGCGCATGCATGTCACCACATCACCATGCGCATGCATGTCATCACATCACCATGCGCATGCATGTCACCACATCCCCATGCGCATGCATGTCACCACATCACCATGCGCATGCATGTCACCACGTCACCATGCGCATGCATGTCACCACATCACCATGCGCATGCATGTCACCACATCACCATGCGCATGCATGTCATCACATCACCATGCGCATGCATGTCACCACATCACCATGCGCATGCATGTCACCACATCACCATGCGCATGCATGTCACCACATCACCATGCGCATGCATGTCACCACATCACCATGCGCATGCATGTCACCACATCACCATGCGCATGCATGTCACCACATCACCATGCGCATGCATGTCACCACATCACCATGCGCATGCATGTCACCACATCACCATGCGCATGCATGTCACCACATCACCATGTGGATGCATGTCACCACATCACCATGCGCATGCATGTCACCACATCACCATGCGCATGCATGTCACCACATCACCATGCGCATGCATGTTACCACATCACCATGCGCATGCATGTCACCACATCACCATGCGCATGCATGTCACCACATGACCTCACCTGGCTGGTGTAAGCCACACGGCCTGCCACGGACACACTGCCTGCCACACGAGTGATCTCCCCCAGCAGCCCCGCCAGCAGCGACGACTTGCCCGCCCCCACCTGGCCATGCAGCAGGCAGGGCGGATGCGGGGAGGCGGGGCGGATGGGGGGAGGCGGGCCGGATGCGGGGAGGCGGGGCGGATGGGGGAAGGCGGGCCGGATGCGGGGAGGCGGGGCGGATGGGGGGAGACCGGCCGGATGGGGGGAGGCGGGGCGGATGGGGGGAGGAAGGGCGGTCGAGGGAGGTGGGGCGGATGGGGAGGGGAAGAGGGAGGATGTGTTTGAGAAACCTGCAACCTCGCTTGATTGATTTCCTTTTCACTAGCACCTACCTGCCACAAACGAGATTGCCGGCGACAACATGTGAAGGGCAGAGCGAATGAGTGAAGGGAAAAGCACACGCATGCATCACTCCACTTGCATCATGTTGAATACGTGCTTCTAGACTCACCTCACCCACGACGATCACGAGCTGCCCTGGAGGAATGTCCAGAGTCACGTCACACAGTGCCAACGCCCCTTCTCCCCCTTCCCCCCCCTCCTTTCCTCCCTGCTTCCCTCCCTTCCCCTTTGCTTCACATGCACCCAACACGTTCACACCCACTGCCACAGCACTGCCATCACAACCACTGCTGCCACCACCACCAATGCTGCTTGAATCATTGCTGCCACTGCCATCAGCATCACTGGTGCTGTCCAGTTCGCCTGCCCCACGTCCCCAGGAGAAGGAGGCATTGCAAAGCTTTATGTTGCCCTTCTGGCTGCCCGGCTCCTCTTCCAATGGAACGATCTCGGGCAGCAGCAGAAACTTTTCAACACGGCCCGCAGAGACCTTGGCTTGCACGTAGTCGTTGATTTGATCGGGAATCATGGCCAGGGGGAACCTGTAATGCATGTGCAACAGGGGTGGAGCGCGCAGGGGGGAGGGCGGTGTGGGGGAGGAGGGGGGTTGGGATGGGGTATGGGGCGAGGCAGACCTGAGGGGGGTGTCCTGAGAAAGCGAAACTGAGGGGGGCGAACCTGAGGGCGGCGAACCTGAGGGCGGCGAACCTGAGGGGAGTGAACCTGAGGGCGGTGAACCTGAGGGGGGATTAGCGGAGGTGTGACAAGTGACCTGAGGAGGTTGAAGAGGGCGAGGGCGGGGAAGGCGACGTCAGCGGTGAGCGGGCGGCCGAGCAGCACATAGGCGGCGAGGGAGACGACACTGACCACCATGGGCGTGAGGTAGTACACGAATAGCCCCATGGCCTCTGGTGGTGGGAGGGGAGTGGAACGGAGAGGCGAAGGGGCATATCGGGCACAGGGGGTGCAGGGGGCATAGGGGCAAAGGGAACAAGGAAACACCGAACGTGGGTGTGAAGTAACATACCCACGGCCTCTGTGCACGGCCTCTGTGCACGGCCTCTGTGCACGGCCTCTGTGCACGGCCTCTGTGCACGGCCTCTGTGCACGGCCTCTGTGCACGGCCTCTGTGCACGGCCTCTGTGCACGGCCTCTGTGCACGGCCTCTGTGCACGGCCTCTGTGCACGGCCTCTGTGCACGGCCTCTGTGCACGGCCTCTGTGCACGGCCTCTGTGCACGGCCTCTGTGCACGGCCTCTGTGCACGGCCTCTGTGCACGGCCTCTGTGCACGGCCTCTGTGCACGGCCTCTGTGCACGGCCTCTGTGCACGGCCTCTGTGCACGGCCTCTGTGCACGGCCTCTGTGCACGGCCTCTGTGCACGGCCTCTGTGCACGGCCTCTGTGCACGGCCTCTGTGCACGGCCTCTGTGCACGGCCTCTGTGCACGGCCTCTGTGCACGGCCTCTGTGCACGGCCTCTGTGCACGGCCTCTGTGCACGGCCTCTGTGCACGGCCTCTGTGCACGGCCTCTGTGCACGGCCTCTGTGCACGGCCTCTGTGCACGGCCTCTGTGCACGGCCTCTGTGCACGGCCTCTGTGCACGGCCTCTGTGCACGGCCTCTGTGCACGGCCTCTGTGCACGGCCTCTGTGCACGGCCTCTGTGCACGGCCTCTGTGCACGGCCTCTGTGCACGGCCTCTGTGCACGGCCTCTGTGCACGGCCTCTGTGCACGGCCTCTGTGCACGGCCTCTGTGCACGGCCTCTGTGCACGGCCTCTGTGCACGGCCTCTGTGCACGGCCTCTGTGCACGGCCTCTGTGCACGGCCTCTGTGCACGGCCTCTGTGCATGGCCTGGCCGTGGAGGCGACTCACACGTGGGGCAAGCTGCCGCCACGGCAAAGCAAGAGAAGCAGAGCTGATGTATGCGTGCGTGAGGGGTGGATGGAGCACATGCGCAAGGAGCAGACAGAGTGGTGGCCTGCCTGGCCATGGGTGTGAGCCAGCACGGTCGTGCGGTAGTGGGGCAGACGTTGATGGCGCACACCAGGAACACGCACCCATGCCTCATGCACTGCACTGCACGCATGTGAGACAGAAACCTCTACATGCACCCAGCAACCATCAACACGCCACTGAGAAGCACAGAGACGTTGATCCCCGAGCGAGACCACCAACCCACCTTTGCAGCCAAGTCAGCCCAACCCTCCCTCCACGCACCGAGCAGCACGGAGGCGGTGACTTCCTTCATCTCCTCCGCCCGCCTCGCCTCTATGCGCCCTTTGAACAGCGCCTCCCACCCGTTGAGCTTCACGGCACGCACGGCCCCCACGGCCTCCGTGAGCAGGCGCACGCGCGCATCGGTGCGCGCTATGAGGCGGTGGCGCACCGCTGACAGGCGCCCCATCAGCACCCCGTTGAACGGCATCAGCAGCAGCATCGTCGCCAGCCCCGCCACGGCTGTGGGCATGGGGAAAGGAAGGGGGGAGAGGGGGGGTGGGGGGATGAGGAGGCGGAGGGGCTCCCCATAAGCACCCGGTTGAAGGGCATCAGCAGCAGCATGGTGGCTAGACCTGCCAGGGCTGCGACAGGGAGGGAGAAGGAGGTAGGAGGAAGAAAGGGGGGGAAGGGGTTAAGGAGAGGGGGAACGCGGTTAATGAAAGCCCCACCAGGGCTGTGCGGATGGGGGTGAGGAGGGAGGGAGGAGATGAGGTAGGGGAGTGCGGAAAGAGGGGAGCGGGTGGGGAAAGGAAACATTGGGAGAGGGGGAAAGGGAATGGGGAGAGGATATGAGTGCATGGAGGCAGTGCAGCCAAGCTGACAAACCTCTTAGTCCCATTATCCAATGGCACTATAGCAAACTATGCCCCCTTCTAAGGCCCACTCTAAGGCTTGCCATACAGAAGGAACGTAGAGTGTAAGTGCAGTTTGGCTTTGCGGATGGGCGATAAACAGGACGGAGGGCGAGGTGAGGTAAAGGCAAGGGGAAGCAGCGAGAACAGAAGGATGGAAGGAGGTTGAAGGGGGGTAGGTTTGGGGGCATGAAGGTTGAAGGAAGGGTGCACGACCGAGATGGTTGTCATAGGTAATAAGACAGAAACGGAAAGGAGGAGAGTGTGATGACAGAAAGGGCTGGATTGTGAATTGCAACGAGCTGTAAACCAGGCTCGTTTCGGGCATGTAGTCATGCTAACAGTGGGAGCATCAGGTACGTTGATGGCATGTCGTGCTACGTTGGCAGATACGCCCTGAGCAGGGTTGCGTACCACGTACATACGCTGGCGTATGTACGTGGTACGCCAATACGCTCGTATTTCTTGGAAATACGCCCGGGCAGACCGTCAAAAAAAAAAAAACGACATTGAAAAAATTCGCGAAGGTTTTGCGACTTCGCGATTTGTTACCGCGAAGTCGCACATCGCCCAACCCAGTTCTGAAATTCAAAATTCGAGTTCCAAACCTTCCAACCCCCCAACCACACACCACCCCACCAAACCTCTCATCTCCAACCATCCCTCTCAAATGTTGTTCAGCAACTCGTCTCCTCATATAATGGATGACGAGTTCCTTTGTTTCATTCAATTGCGGTGCTCGTTTTTATTCCCGTAGCTCTCTTCTCCCGTTCGTCCTCATGGCGTCTAACTCCACCCCTCCTACTGCGACGAGCAATGTTGGATCTGTTAACGCGTCTAATGGCGCAATCAATACGGAGCCTGTCGAGGCTGGCCTTTCGAACCCCATTCTGAAACATTTTCTTATTCCGTACCATACTAAAGGCACTCCCAAGATGTGTAAGTTCTGTGACTTCACGTTTGAGGGCGGAACCAATCGCTGCGCGATTCACCTTGCGAAATGGAAAGGGCAGGAGAAACGCGCTGTCCGGCTTTGCAAGAAGGTGTCCGCGGCAGTCAGTGAAGAAGTGCGCGGCATGTACGAGGAGAAGGTGGAGAAGCAGGGCGTCAAACGAGGGGCGGCCGCTGCAGCAATTGACTCCGCGCTGGGCGCGGTCACTGGTTCTTCAGAGAAGAAGGGGAAGATAACGTCCTTCTTCAGCGATGAGGCGACGAGCGCCAAGGAGGACGCGGATAACGCCCTCTGCCTTTTGATCGCGGCGTTAAGACTTCCCGAGCGCATCGCGGATGACCCGGTCTTCCGCTACGCGGTCCAGTGCTTTGCGCGCGCTGGACCGAGGTACGTCCCCCCCAACAGGCGCTACATTGGAGGGGCGGGCTTGAAGAAGGTGCGGCAGAAAATGGAGGAGGCGCTCGCCCCCATTGCCGCCAGCTGGAAGCGGGACGGGGTCACCGTGTCGTCGGACATGATGACTGACCGTTGTGGCCGCCCGCAGGCCAACGTGCTCCTTGTCAACGACTCAGGCGCAGTGTTCGAGCAGGCGGTGGACTGCAACATGGAGTCGAAGACCGGGGGGTACATCGCTAGCCTTCTCCGCCCCGTCATTGATAAGGTGGGGCCGGAGAATGTGGTGGCGGTCTGCACTGATGGCGGCAGCAACTATGCCTCGGCAGCCAAGAAGATTGCGAGCACATGGCCGCACATTGAGCATGTGCCATGTGCCACGCATGTCCTGGACCTGATGATGGAAGACGTGGGCAAGATGGGATGGGCGAAGGGGCTCGTGGAGAAGGGGGGGATGATGATTACCTTTGTGCGCAACCATCACTTCACCCGTGCTTACATGAAGAAGGGTGGGGGGAAACAGGTGCTCAAGCCCGCGGGGACCAGGTTCGGGACGCAGTACATAGCTCTGTCCCGGCTGTGCGAGGTGCGGGGTGGGCTGGCGCAGATGGTTCTCAGCGACGAGTGGAATGAGTGGGCAGTGGCGGACAAGGACAGGAAGACTGCAGCCGAGAAGTTCAGGGCTGCCGTGATGGATGAGGAGTGGTGGGGGCTGGCGGTGTTTTTTACCTCTCTCATGGCGGTGCCGTACAAGGCCATGCGGGCCACGGACTCCTCGGCGAAGGGGATGATGGGTAAGATGTATGATATCATGCTACAACTTACCGAGGACATCAATGACAAGTTGGACGAGGCACGGGACTATTTGACAAGGGCGGAAAAGGCTGATATCACCAAGATTGTGAAGGACAGGTGGGACAACTCACTTGCCTGCCCCATGCATGTGGTTGGCCGGATCCTGAATCCGGCCAACCAGGTGGAGGGAATTTTCAGGAACGACGTGGAGTGCACTCGAGTGTTCAAGGCCTACATCGAGCGCCACTACGACAACAAAACCTTCAGGCGTGGCAAGGATGGCGCCCCTCGCCGCGCCTCCCTTGTTCTGCAGGAGGCATTGCTGGCCTACATCAACATGGAGGGCAGCTTTGGCACGCCGGCCGCCATCTCTGCAAGGGAGGCAGTGAAGAAGGGGGAGATGAGCATGGTGCAGTGGTGGTCGTGGCACAGCACCGAGTACCCGAGCTTGCCACCCTCGCATGCCGGGTGCTCACTCAGCCCGTCTCGGCTTCCCCATGCGAACGTGGCTGGGCACAGTGGGAAGGCGTCCACACCGCTCGCCGCAACCGGCTTGGGTCCGCCAAGTGTGCGGACCTCGTCTACATTGCGCACAACTGGAACGTTGTGCGCAATTGGTACAAGAAGGATGGGGGCAGCACGGTTGTCCCCGGTAACATCCCGGATGCCCCTATCCCTCGCGGCTACAACATGGACGAGGAGGAGGAGGATGACCTGCTGGGGGGGGAAGGAGAGGATGCAGTTCTGGCGGATGAGTATGGGGCAGGGGTGGTGTTGGAAAAGCCCCGCAAGGAACTCGGCTGTGGGGAAGCTAGCTAGAGGGTGGGGTGGGGATGTATGGGGGGTGGGGAGAAGTAGCCTCGAAGATGTATTTTTGGATATTTATGAAATTAAATTATGACATGTGTTTTTGGGAAACATAACCCCCCCCCCCCCCCTGTAACAGGTTTTTTTAGCCCTGCCCGGGAAAAAAAGTTTTACCTGCCCGCCCAGCGTATTTTTACGTATCACCAGTACGCCACCCCTGGCGTACCGCGTATATACCCAGCGTATAATACGCTGGCGTATAAAACGTGATACTCGTATCTGCCAACGTAGATGTCGTGATGCCATCGTATCATGGTGGCATGGTGTGGTGGGATGGCAGAGGTAGCATGGTGACGGCATGATCATTCTGGCATGATCATTCTGGCATGATCATTCTGGCATGATCATTCTGGCATGATCATTCTGGCATGATCATTCTGGCATGATCATTCTGGCATGATCATTCTGGCATGATCATTCTGGCATGATCATTCTGGCATGATCATTCTGGCATGATGATAGCAGGGCGTGGTGGCGTGGTGGTTGTGTCATGACATGGCGTGGGATTTAAAACCGATGGTATGGTATGGCATGAGATGCCATGGCATGGAATGGAATGGCATGGCATGAGATGCCATGGCATGGAATGGAATGGTATGGCATGAGATGCCATGGCATGGAATGGAATGGTATGGCATGAGATGCCATGGCATGGAATGGAATGGCATGGCATGAGATGCCATGGCATGGCATGTGATGGCATGGCATGGGATGGCATGGCATGGCATGGCATGGCATGGGATGGCATGGCATGGCATGGCATGGCATGGCATGGCATGGGATGGCATGGCATGGCATGGCATGGCATGGCATGGCATGGCATGGGATGGCATGGCATTTACAAAAGTGGATAATGGACTCACCAGGGATGACAGAGAGGAAGCGAAAGAGGAAGGCCAAGGCACCTGGTGGAGGGGGGTGAAGAGAGGTGGTGGAGGGGAGGGGTGGAGGGGTGCAGTGGTCAAGAGTGGAAACAAAGAGGGCTGGTGAGTCCCTGCTTTCGTGTTCCCGCGAGCAGGGGAGCAGGGAAGCACAGGTGAAATAAACCCTTAAACCCATCCCCAACCCCGCAACCCCCTCCAGTAAGACGCGTCCCCATGGCCAGAGCAGCTCCCCTCACCAAGGATCTGCAGGGGGCCGCTCCACACAATGTGCAGATAGATGCACAGCTTCGCCAGCTTCTCCGCGTCGTTGCTCTGCAGATTCACCTGCTCAGGTGGAAACAACAGAAGCGGTTGCAGCACAGGGCTTGAATTGACAGCAGTGTAGTGAAGGTCCCTGCCTGCATGTAAACGGTATTAGTGTTAGCCCTCAATCTCAAACGTTGTATTTGTACTTTCTATATCCTAGCGTAGTGTAGTTTGCACTTTGTGTTTGGTTGGGTGTACACCCACATCCCAACCAAACCCAAATGTGATCTCCAAGCAATCTCCAACCCACCAATTGGAGATTGCCTTGGGATTACCCCCAATCCCTAGAGATTGCCCCCGATTCCCTTCCCCATCCTTTCCTTGCCCATCCTGAATGTACTTAAAGAGCTTCAAGCTCATTACTAATCTATCTGATTCTAAGCTCAAGTTCTGACAAACGGGTCAACAAGCAGATGACCAATTCATTTTGGGGAGTGTGAGAGGGAGATGTGAGAGCGTGGAAGGGCAGACAGAGAGCTCAAGCATGCCATGGAGCAAACGTATCACTTGGTGTCAAATGTCTCGCTGCTACAGTGGCAGCAGCAGCTTGCTGCTACTGCACGTGTGAAGCGGACAGACAGACGTACAATCTCCCCGAGGCTGGTGGAGTGGCGCGCTGCAGCGGAGATGCGCAGCGCCTTGGAGTAGATGAGCGCCACCAGCGCCGTGCGCACCTGGTGGTGTGGCGCGGGAGAATGTGGGGCGGAGGAAGGGAGGGGGGGAGAATGTGGGGGGGAGGAAGGGAGGGGGGAATGTGAGGGGGACGAAGGGAGGGGGGAAAGGGGGGAAAAAGGGACGAAGGGTTACGGTGTTGGGAGGGCATGCAGCGGGGTGGAGATGCGCAGGGCGTTGCAATACATGAGCGCCACCAGTGCCGTGCGCACCTGGGGCAGCGTGCCGTGCGAGAGGTGGGAAGGAGAAGCGGGTGAGATAGGCATGCATGGGAGCGCATGGGGATGTGGCATGAGAGGGCCAGGGTGAGACAGAACGGGGTGGGGCGAGGCAGGGAATGCGGTGGCGCACGAGCGGAGTGCGGTGTGTGAGGGGATGAGTGGGGAACGGAGTGTGAGAGGGACACAGAGCCATAGGAGGAGAGGCACATACATGGGAGGAGAGGCACGTGCGAGACTCTTCAAAGCATTACACGGACGCACATGGGAGGAGAGGCGGTAGAGCAACGCACATGGGAGGAGAGGCGGTAGAGCAACGCACATGGGAGGAGAGGCGGTAGAGCAACGCACATGGGAGGAGAGGCGGTAGAGCAACGCACATGGGAGGAGAGGCGGTAGAGCAACGCACATGGGAGGAGAGGCGGTAGAGCAACGCACATGGGAGGAGAGGCGGTAGAGCAACGCACATGGGAGGAGAGGCGGTAGAGCAACGCACATGGGAGGAGAGGCGGTAGAGGCGGTGGAAGTACTGATGGGCGACGAGCGACTGGCCCACGTTGCACGCCAGCAGCACCCCCGCTAGCAGCAGCCCCGGCAGCCACGCTGGTAGCGAGGCGGCCAGTAACGAGGATGGGTGCGCGGAGGCAGAGGAAGGGAGTGGGTGAGTTGTGGAGTGCGCGAGGGGGGCCATGAAAGCAGCAGTGGTGTTGGTGATTGGGGTTTGCGTGTGGGGGAGCGCCTGAGGGACGAGAGAGAGCAGCGGGAAGAAGATCCAGGAGAGGAGTTGCGGTGCTGGGGAGAGGGAGGGGAGGAGGGTAGTGAAGGGAGCAGCTGGGGCGGTGGAGAGGAGCGAGCGGTGGAGGGACGGTGTGAGGGTGGAGGGGAGGGGGAAAGAGGAGTTGGGGAGAATGAGTGAGGGACCAAGGAGCCCCTCGGCTGAGCTGCTGACTGCTGTGTGCGGAGCTGCTGTGCTGACGTGGAATGACGTCATGCTGAGGTGGAGGATGATCTGCTGTAGCAGCAGCGGCGAGGCGAGTTGCAGCAGGTCGTGAATGAGCTTCAGTGCTCCCGCTGCCATGAAGGGGTGCATGAACGCGCTCACCAACGCGCGGGCTAGAGAGGGACGCCTGGGAACAGACAGCATGGCGAGCAAAGGGAGAACGGATGAGGGGGGGAAGGGGAGAGGGAGAGAGGAGGAGAACGGGAGAGGGGGAGAAGGGGAGAGGGGGAGAAGAGGTGAGGGGAGAGGAATGGGGGGGAGAGGGAAAGAGGTTTCCTGAGGAGAAGAGGGGGTTGAGGCGGGGAGCAGGTGCACGCACAGGAGGTTCAGCCAACCTGCCATGTGTTGCACGCGGGGCGTGTGGGCGTGTGGGGCCACGGAGCAGAGACAGGGGCCACCAGGGCCGACTGGGGAGAGAGTGAGGGGCAGGCACGCTTAAGGATGTGGGCACGATGCATACATACACACATCATTATACGCGCACACGTTGTATATACATGACAATATACACATATATACCTGTGGGTGGCGGCCGTCTCAGCGTGCCACGCGGCCCTGAGCGAGGGTGCGACAGCAGCGGAGGAGTCGCGCGGGCAGAGCGGCGGCAGGTCGGAGGCGTGCAGCACCTTGGCGTTGCCCAGCCGGATCAGCGGCCCCACCCACGCGAAGGTGAGGTGCGACGACAGCGATGCTTCGTCCTCTGGCGACGGCTGCGGCGAGAGAGGGAGGGTGGGACCGGGGGAGAGGAGAGAAGGGGTGGGGAAAAGGGGAGTGGGAGTGCAGGAATGGGGGCGAATGGGAGGCGAGGTGTGACTCTTGGAAAACGGAGGGAATTTGAAAGGGAATGCTCCCTCCAATGCTGCTCGCTGCTGCTCGCTGGGGCTCGCCGGCTGCTGGCTGGATAGGCGGTGATCGGCGCGGAATCAAAGGGGCCGCCGCCTGCCTGCTCCCCTAATCCCATGTCGGCTGTCTTACCCCTGAGACGCCATCGCGGCCGTCCGTCGACGCCGCCATCGCAAATCAACGGCGCCTTAACCACCTGCCGCCAATTGCTTTCGACGATCCACAATTCGGCTCGCTAAACCCTTAAACTGCAGAATCCTGTAGTTCGGCGATAGCACCGCAAATCTCGCCAGCGAGCCAATGACCCCAATACGAGATTCCACTCTACTCCCCCGTCCCAACCGTGGCGAGTAAAGTGGAAGGATTTACAAGGGGCGCATTTCGGTGGGTTCAATCATCCACACGATCGAGTGGTGATGGCGCGACTACGTGTGGGTCGTCAATCGTCCATTCTCTTCCAGATTGTACGCGTTTAATGCAATCCTCGCTTACTGTACTCGTTTCATTGCACCCGTACGGCGCGTCAAATTGTTGCGAACTTGTGTTTTGGCTATATTTTGTCGACCAAGTTGGTCGACATTTGTTTCGCAAAATCCGACCCAATGGTCGACTGCATGTCGACAGGCCCATATTTGGTGTTTTGCAAACTCGAAAAGTTTTTGTGGTCGTTTTGCAGGTCGTTGTATTGAACTTGTAAATTTTGCAGTTCCCTAAATGGCCTGAAATATGCGACGGTGTCGCAAAATTGAAGGCGAGCTTGTAACAACTTTCACCCAATAGTGGGTTCACTCAATCTGTCGCTTGGAGCAGTGTACGACAGTTCACTCAATCTGTCGCAATGACAAGTCGGCCACATGGAAGAATTTTTGTCGACTCGTCTAAACGGTCCCAATTCGCATTTTTTCCCCGAAATTAACGAACTTTGAATTTTGTTAACGAGAACCGTTAGCTGGTTAGTTTCGCCAAAACGACCCGACAGTTTTGCAAATTTTCGGTGTTTGGCGATTTGACACGCCCTAACACCATGTCAAACACGATCATCGTGCTGTCGTAGACGATCTGATTGGCTCATTCCTCTTCCCTGTCGTCACCCCCGTTTCTCCCTCACCGCACCAGCCCGAGTCTAGAACGGCATGATTCAAGTTCAAGATTCTTGAACTAGAATTCGCCCAGAAACACGGTAACACGCTCTCTCGCGACCCACAGAGAAGGGAATGAAGCGCAGAAAGGTGATTGGCTGAAAGTACCGCAGCCGTCACAGTGACGACCCTCGCGAGAAAATCCAAGTGCTCCAACTACTGTTTCTACTTCCTGAAACTTGAAACTGGAAGCTACCAATCTAGACTCGATGGTAGTAGGCTCCATAGCCCGCAGTATCGTCAATAGCCCGTGATCTATTGCGCCGTCACCCAAGTCTAGGCTTCGACTTTTGTAGGACCACATAGTATATATCACTCCATGCCCATACCTCAAGCCACTCCCTATCCGATCGCGCGCGTGCGGCGTCCGCAGGAAATATAGCGAGATCCATCTCTCTCGTCGCACTGGTAGCTCTCGTCGCTTCCGTCCCTCCCGTCGCTCCCACTCGTCCCCTCGCTCCCACTCCTCCCCGTTGCTCCCGCTCGTCGCTCCGTTGCTCCCGCTCCTCCCGTCGCTCCTTCTCCTCACGTCCATCCCGTCCCGCTTCCCGTCGCTCCCGTCTCTCCTGTCCCTCGTCCCGTCGCTCCCGTCGCTCCCCTCCCTCCTCCCGGCTCTTCCCTTCGGTCCCTCCCGTACCTGCGGTGTTTTAGAGAGCCGCGGCCGTCGCGGAACCCCTGTTTCCCCAAGTCCACTTGGCAATCTCAGGCTTCGCAGACCGAACTAGCCATCAGCTTTCCTTCCGGCGGCCGTATCTCGAGAATCCCCGAGGAGCATGGCACCTGGAGCTCCAGCGTCAACGTGCACGCCATCCCCGTCTCCCAGGAGACCACCCTCACTGCTACCTCTTTCTCTCCCGCTCCTCCTCCTCCTCCCGCTCCTCCTCTCATCGCACCTTCCCCTCCGCGTGTCGGCGCAAGGCCTCGTGTTGGTGCCCCCTCCCCCCGACGACAGTGCGCCGATCGCAGCCCCGCCCGCCTCCAGGCAACCCGCCGTTTCGCCCCCGTCGCCGCATCGCGAGTCGCCCCGCAGCCCGGCTGACGTGGGCGAGGCCTACCCTGACGTGTCCTCGCTCTCAATTGGCCTGGCAAACAGCACGATCCCGTCGCTGGAGCATGCTGACGTGGAAGTGGTGGTCCCCAGGCGAGCGGGCGACGGGGATGAAGATGGGGAAAGTGGGGGGGGAGGGGCGGGCGGAGAGGGGGAAGAAAGGGTGGAGGGGGGCTTCGAGAGCATGGATGCGATGCTGCAGTGGGCCATAGGTATGCATGGTGCCGTGGGCCATAGGTATGCATGGTGCCGTGGGCCATAGGTATGCATGGTGCCGTGGGCCATAGGTATGCATGGTGCCGTGGGCCATAGGTATGCATGGTGCCGTGGGGCTGCTTGTCTCGGGGTACTGACTGTGTTCCTTGTGCACCCATGCACGTGCACACGCGCACTCATGCCGTCGCGTGTGCGTGCCCCGCGTGTGTGTGTGCTTTGCATGTGAGCAGCGCGGTCGGACCCGGAGGCGCTGAAGCAGGGAGCCAAGGAGGTGGCGGAGCTCACGCCCGAGGAGCTGGAGGCGAAGCGACAACACATCCGCGTCAGTGCTGCCTCCCCTTGCCTCGCACACGCTCTGCGTCGCTGCTCACCTGCATGCCGTGTTTCCATCGCCCATGCACCACATCCCCATCCAACCCCCCATGCACCACATCCCCATCCAACCCCCCATGCACCCCCCATCCAACCCCCCATGCACCCCCCATCCAACCCCCCATGCACCCCCCATCCAACCCCCCATGCACCCCCCATCCAACCCCCCATGCACCCCCCATCCAACCCCCCATGCACCCCCCATCCAACCCCCCATGCACCCCCCATCCAACCCCCCATGCACCCCCCATCCAACCCCCCATGCACCCCCCCCTGCGTGCGCCCTAACCACCCACCTCCCCCCCCCTCTCCCCCTCCCCCCCCTGCAGGACGTGGTGGAGGCCATGCGCATGCCGTCCCCCGGCGACCTCATGCGCGCCGCCATCGCCCACATCGCCCCCGCTGCTGCTGCTGCTGCTGCTCACGGGGGGGCGCCAGGGGAGCAAGGGGGAGGCGAGGAGGAGCATGAGCGCGTGGTGGGGGCGCTGCATGAGCTGGCGCAGCTGGTGGAGCCCGTGCATGCCGCCAACGGTGCGCTGCTCCCCTGCCATGCCATCTCGCCCTTGCTTGCCCGTGCTCGCACACCACACACGAGGAGGCGGATCTGCTCCCCCCCTGCCATCTCATCCCTTCCCTGTGCTCCCATCTCTGCGCCCTCTCTCTCATTCTCTCGCCCTCCCACCTGCACTCCCACCAAGCACAATCTCCTTTCCACTTTAGACTTCCGCTCATTGCAACTTCTCTTGTTCGGTGCTTCATGGTTGTGCTTTACTGTAAGCCAGGTTGCGTGAACAGCATTCGAGTGTGTGTCTGCAACATATCAACCCGTTCCGCTTGTTTCATTGCCCGCCCTGCCTGTCACTCTCCACCGTGCCCGTACATGTTTGCATGGCAGATCTGCACAAGCTGGGCGGGCTGGCAACGTTGGGGGCGCTGCTGGAGCATGGGAGCAGTGAGGTGCGCGGCATGGCGGCGCTGGTGGTGGGCAAGGCGGCGCAGAACAACCGCCTCGTGCAGCACCAGGTGCGCTGCCCTCCACATCCCTCCCTCCTCCTCCTCTACGCCTTCAACCCCTCCTCTACGCCTTCCCCCCCTCCTCTACGCCTTCCCCCCCTCCTCTACGCCTTCCCCCCCTCCTCTACGCCTTCCCCCCCTCCTCCCATATCCACCTCGCCTGTGCTCCAATTTGTTCGGTCTCTTCCCGCCCGCCCCCTTCCCCCCCCACCCTCATGTGTGCGCCAGGTGGTGGACACGGGTGTGCTGCGAGCACTCTTCACGCACCTGCACTCACCGCAGCCAACCCCTTCAGTGGCCGAGGACGAGCACGCCAGACTGCTCTTCGCCCTCTCTGCTGCCATCCGCGGCCACGTGGCAGCCACCCATTGGTTCTTCCGCCACGGGGGCGTGGGCCTGCTGGCCCGCCTGCTGTCCCTACCATCCCCCCGCTCGCAGCGCAGGGCGCTCTTCCTGCTCGCTGACCTGGCGGATAGTGCAGGGGCGCGGGCAGGGGGTGGGGGGGAGGGTGGGGATGCGGAGCGGGAGAAGGAGGGGGTGAGGATGGGCAAAGGGTTGAAGGGTGAGGGGGACAGTGAGGAGGCAAGTATGGGGGAGAAGCAAGGAGGGGAGGAGCAAGGAGGGGAGGAGCAGGGGGAGGAGGAGCAAGGAAGAGAAGAGTGGTTGGCAGATGAGGCGCTGATGACGGCAGTGGTGGGGCTGCTAGGCGGGGGCGAGGGGGAGAGTGTGGAGGGGCGGGGGGCAGTGTGGAGGCGGAGTGAGGATGGCGGCAGCACGTGGGACCTGGACATGCTGGATAAGGTGCGTGGGGCACATTCTGGATGCATTCACGCACAGACAGTTCTTTGTGCTTTTGTTGTGTTCTGTTCTTTTGGGTGGCGGGTCGCATTTGTCACCTTCTTGCATGTCTGCTTGCTTCAATATGCACTCATTCCCACCTGCGCCCACCTGCTCTCTCCACTATCCCTTCCCCCCACCCGCGCAGGCAGCAGCAGCGCTGCACAGCCTGCTGGCCGCCTCCCCCGCCACGCGTCAAGTGCTGCTTGCATGCTGCCGCCCAGTGCTGGCGGTGGAGCGCGTGAGGGCAGCGCTGCAGGCGCATGTGGGGGATGTGCAGCGGGGGGGGGACGAGGCGGAGTATGAGCAGGAGGTGGCGGGGCGCCTGGCTTCACTGCTGCTCGCCCTGCAGGCAGCTGGGAGAGGGGCAGATGCCCGGTCTCACTAGTAGCGCCGGTGCTGAGGGGAATGATTTCCGTGTTCTGCCGTGTATGAGTTGGTGCTCTTGAGCATTGCGAGGAACAGGAAATGCGCTGGCAGGAGTTATTAAATTCACGGCAGACCAGAGCCAACAACATACTAGCACTGGCAAACTGGTGGTGAGATACTAGATGGGCACACCAGGTGGCACCCACGCCCCTCATACGGCATCCATCCTCCCTGCCTCCTGCAATGGCTTCTCATCTCATCCCAGCGCCTGGCAGCATTCGGCAGTGTGATGCAGTTCAGGGTAGAGTGGGTTGCCAGAAATAGAAACGAACAGGAATTACTAGAAAAACTTGCAGGGCAGAGGGGGGTTACAAATAGTGACCCATGCCCAGTGCCCAGTACAGCACAAACCTAGCTAGGCTAAGAGATGTACACCTAGGAATGCAAGAGCGTAATCTGACACACCCCCTAGGCTATGTAAGGGCAGTGCCAAGAGGAGGAGAAACAACTAGCGAAACTGTGAAACCAAGCATACCGGTACCGGTAGGTACCATATAGACTAGGTGGCCAGGATACTTGTGTTGAGGTGCAATTGCATTACTCCCCATCTCACATTCTGCCAACTCGGTCAGTACCGTATGTCAAAGTCACTCAACCCCATCAAGTACTACCCGGTTGGTCTGCTGTCTTCATCCCTGCCCTTCCCACACATTCCTCCCGTCCCATGCGACTTGCGAATCATGAGCTTCAACCCCCTCACCCCTCCATCACCAGCAGGAGCACCAGGAGCACCGCCAGAACCACCAACACTAGCACCAGCAACACCAGCAGAACTAGCACCACCATCACCACCACCACCAGTCCCAGCAGCACTTTCAGAAGCACCGACCGCAACTGCTGCTAGCTGCTGCCTGCCGTCTGCCTCGTGCCTGCCAGCCGTGACAGAGGCCTCCCAAGCCCTCCTTTTTGACCCATCCAAGCCTGCCGCCCCCTCCCCATCTCCATCCCCACTCTCCTCCCTCTTCCCTTCCACATCTCCCACGCTATCCCCCTTCCCACCCCCCTTCCCACCCCCCTTCCCACCCCCCTTCCCACCCCCCTTCCCATCCTCTTTCCCTTCCTCACCTTCCCCAATACTCCTCCCTCCTTCGCCCCTCCCCCTCCCACTATTGCTACCTGCAGCCCCCCCCCTGCCCGCCCCCCCTATAAGAACATCCAAGCCCGCCAAACCCTCTATACTGCCACCCCCATGTGTTCGTTTCTCTTCCTGAGACCGCGTTTGAGGCGCTTCAAGACCCAGACCCTCTGTACTAACACCACTCCCGTGCGCCTCCCCGGCTTGCTCCTTCCCCTCACCGTCCACCTCCTTCCCCTCACCATCCACCTCCTTCCCCTCACCATCCACCTCCTTTCCCCTGTCTCCCTTGTTATCCTTACACTCTTCCTCCTCCTCTGCTTCCCTCTGCACCTCCCTTTGCCCTTTCCTCGGCCCCTCACGTTTTGGTGCTCCACCCTCCTTGGTCAGCCCATCCACACCCCCGCCCCTCCCCTCATCACCCTCCTCTTGCAAGCGTCCCTCACTCCTCTCCTCAACCCCCTTTTGCATCACACCACTCACACCACTCTTTCCTCTCCTTGCCTCCTCCACCTCCTCTCCCTCCCTCCTCTGCCTTCCCTTGCCCCCCTCCCTCCCCTCCTCCTGCCCTCCCTTCCTCCTCCTCTTGCTCCTTGTCACCTCTGCATGGAAATCATCGCCCTCTCTTGCGTCCCCTCCTTTCCTCTCTCCCAACTCCTTAGCCTTCTCTGCTGAATCTCGTTCCTTCATACTTCTCTCATCGTTTCTTTTCTCCTCCCTTGCCGAACCATCCTCCTCCCCCTTTTCGCCCCTTTCTTTTGCTTCCTCATGCTCTCCCTTCCTCTTCCTCCTCTCCCTCCCCTCGCCCCTCCTCTCCCCCTCATGTCGCCCCTCCTGCTCCTCCACCCTCACACCTTCGCCTCTCTTCCTCTTCAGCCTTATCCTCACTCGAATCCCCTCCTCCCCTCTTCCCTCACCCCCTTCCTCCCCCTCCCCCACCTGTTCCTCCTCCTCTACCTTGCCACTCTTCCATCTCCTCCTCTTCCTCTCCCCTCCCCCCTCACCTTCCCCCACCTCCTCCTCCTCCCCTACCAACTTCCTCCTCTTCCTCTTCCCTAAACCCTCTTCTCCCCCCCCTTTCTCCTTTCCAACAGACCCTGCAACATACCCCACCCCCACCCTCCTTCCCTTCCTACCAACACCATCACCACCACCCAATCCTCCTCCCCGTTCCCCCCCACTCTCCTCTCCCTCACTCTCCGAAAACGGAGGAGGAGCTTTTTCCCTGCCCTCCTCCTCCTCCTGATCAGGCCCCTCGTGCCCATCTCCTCTGCCCTCCCCACCTCCACCTTCCCCCTCTCCTCTCCCCTCCCGGTCCACGTCCCCTTCCTGCTGCTCCTCCCTCGCATGAAGCGAGGCCATTCCCCTCTTTCTCTGCCCCCTCTTTCTCGACCAAGTGCTTTCCTCCGCCTCCTCTGCTGCCCCCTCCCCGCCTGCCTTTGCTCCTCCCTTGCTTTGCTCCACACGGCGTTTGAATCGAGACCAGAGCTCTTGAGTGGCCTCTGCTGCTGTTGCGACCTGTGGTGAGGGGAAGAGAAAGACATTACCAATGTCACACGAGGGCTTAGAGGCCGCACTCTTTCCGCCTGGTATCAATACCAGAGCTCCTGAGTGGATCATAGAGGCGCCTAACAAATCGCCTGAGTGGCTCGTGCTGCCGTGCGACCTGTGATGTGATGAGGGACAACGAGAGACACACAACACCACAAGTTGGAGTTTCAAGGCAGCACTTGATAGAGCAAACGAGGAGCAACACAACGGCACAGCAATGCAAGTGACAAGGCAATGGAACTCACACTAGGAGCGTGGCCAAGGCAGGCAGGGCACGTATAGGAGAGGTCTGAGTTCGTCTGATACTGCATGTACTGCTCATCGCTGCACGCAGGGCACACCACAGAATCGACAGAATGCATTGTGCATCTCAATGAGCGGAAGGTGTGAAAAAAAAGTGGGAAACAGGTGTGAAAAAAGTGTGGAAAAAGGTGTGCCCGATTCTGCGTTAACTGGTGATCAACGCGTTCCAGATTAGTAGTCTTACACATGTCAAGCTCGTTTCAATGTATACTTTGATTCTTCCTTGTGCAAAACAGACAAATGAGAAGGAAAGGTGAATCAGTTGTGGAAAGTGAGTAATAGATTGGGATGGTCAACAAGTGTTGGGGAAGTGCAAAGGGAGGGAGAGAGAGGGAAGGGTGTGATTGCAATATAATACTGTGACATGCACAAAGGTATTTGTACAGGTAGAGAAATGGCACCCTTTACCCACCTGATATTGTCACACGCGCAATGCACCCAGTGCTCGCATTTGTCACAACACACCATTGGCGTTGGCTCTGAGTCCCGATACACCTGTGATGCGATGAGGGCGGTGGGATGTGCATGCATGTGTGGTGTCCACACATGCAGACACACATGCAGACACACATGCAGACACACATGCAGACACACATGCAGACACACATGCAGACACACATGCAGACACACATGCAGACACACATGCAGACACACATGCAGACACACATGCAGACACACATGCAGACACACATGCAGACACACATGCAGACACACATGCAGACACACATGCAGACACACATGCAGACACACATGCAGACACACATGCAGACACACATGCAGACACACATGCAGACTCACATGCAGACACACATGCAGACACACATGCAGACACACATGCAGACACACATGCAGACACACATGCAGACTCACATGCAGACACACATGCAGACACACATGCAGACACACATGCAGACACACATGCAGACACACATGCAGACTCACATGCAGACACACATGCAGACACACATGCAGACACACATGCAGACACACATGCAGACTCACATGCAGACACACATGCAGACACACATGCAGACACACATGCAGACACACATGCAGACACACATGCAGACACACATGCAGACACACATGCAGACACACATGCAGACACACATGCAGACACACATGCAGACACACATGCAGACACACATGCAGACACACATGCAGACACACATGCAGACACACATGCAGACACACATGCAGACACACATGCAGACACACATGCAGACACACATGCAGACACACATGCAGACACACATGCAGACACACATGCAGACACACATGCAGACTCACATGCAGACACACATGCAGACACACATGCAGACACACATGCAGACACACATGCAGACTCACATGCAGACACACATGCAGACACACATGCAGACACACATGCAGACACACATGCAGACACACATGCAGACACACATGCAGACACACATGCAGACACACATGCAGACTCACATGCAGACACACATGCAGACACACATGCAGACACACATGCAGACACACATGCAGACACACATGCAGACACACATGCAGACACACATGCAGACACACATGCAGACACACATGCAGACACACATGCAGACACACATGCAGACACACATGCAGACACACATGCAGACACACATGCAGACACACATGCAGACACACATGCAGACACACATGCAGACACACATGCAGACACACATGCAGACACACATGCAGACACACATGCAGACACACATGCAGACACACATGCAGACACACATGCAGACACACATGCAGACACACATGCAGACACACATGCAGACACACATGCAGACACACATGCAGACACACATGCAGACTCACATGCAGACACACATGCAGACACACATGCAGACACACATGCAGACACACATGCAGACACACATGCAGACACACATGCAGACACACATGCAGACACACATGCAGACACACATGCAGACACACATGCAGACTCACATGCAGACACACATGCAGACACACATGCAGACTCACATGCAGACACACATGCAGACACACATGCAGACTCACATGCAGACACACATGCAGACACACATGCAGACTCACATGCAGACACACATGCAGACACACATGCAGACTCACATGCAGACACACATGCAGACACACATGCAGACTCACATGCAGACACACATGCAGACACACATGCAGACACACATGCAGACACACATGCAGACACACATGCAGACACACATGCAGACACACATGCAGACACACATGCAGACACACATGCAGACACACATGCAGACACACATGCAGACACACATGCAGACACACATGCAGACACACATGCAGACACACATGCAGACACACATGCAGACACACATGCAGACACACATGCAGACACACATGCAGACTCACATGCAGACACACATGCAGACACACATGCAGACACACATGCAGACACACATGCAGACACACATGCAGACTCACATGCAGACACACATGCAGACACACATGCAGACACACATGCAGACACACATGCAGACACACATGCAGACTCACATGCAGACACACATGCAGACACACATGCAGACACACATGCAGACACACATGCAGACACACATGCAGACACACATGCAGACACACATGCAGACACACATGCAGACACACATGCAGACACACATGCAGACACACATGCAGACACACATGCAGACACACATGCAGACACACATGCAGACACACATGCAGACACACATGCAGACACACATGCAGACACACATGCAGACACACATGCAGACACACATGCAGACACACATGCAGACACACATGCAGACACACATGCAGACACACATGCAGACACACATGCAGACACACATGCAGACACACATGCAGACACACATGCAGACACACATGCAGACACACATGCAGACACACATGCAGACACACATGCAGACACACATGCAGACACACATGCAGACACACATGCAGACACACATGCAGACACACATGCAGACACACATGCAGACACACATGCAGACACACATGCAGACACACATGCAGACACACATGCAGACACACATGCAGACACACATGCAGACTCACATGCAGACACACATGCAGACACACATGCAGACACACATGCAGACACACATGCAGACACACATGCAGACACACATGCAGACTCACATGCAGACACACATGCAGACACACATGCAGACACACATGCAGACACACATGCAGACACACATGCAGACACACATGCAGACACACATGCAGACACACATGCAGACACACATGCAGACACACATGCAGACACACATGCAGACACACATGCAGACACACATGCAGACACACATGCAGACACACATGCAGACACACATGCAGACACACATGCAGACACACATGCAGACACACATGCAGACACACATGCAGACACACATGCAGACACACATGCAGACTCACATGCAGACACACATGCAGACACACATGCAGACACACATGCAGACACACATGCAGACACACATGCAGACACACATGCAGACACACATGCAGACACACATGCAGACACACATGCAGACTCACATGCAGACACACATGCAGACACACATGCAGACTCACATGCAGACACACATGCAGACACACATGCAGACTCACATGCAGACACACATGCAGACACACATGCAGACTCACATGCAGACACACATGCAGACACACATGCAGACTCACATGCAGACACACATGCAGACACACATGCAGACTCACATGCAGACACACATGCAGACACACATGCAGACTCACATGCAGACACACATGCAGACACACATGCAGACTCACATGCAGACACACATGCAGACACACATGCAGACTCACATGCAGACACACATGCAGACACACATGCAGACTCACATGCAGACACACATGCAGACACACATGCAGACTCACATGCAGACACACATGCAGACACACATGCAGACTCACATGCAGACACACATGCAGACACACATGCAGACTCACATGCAGACACACATGCAGACACACATGCAGACTCACATGCAGACACACATGCAGACACACATGCAGACTCACATGCAGACACACATGCAGACACACATGCAGACTCACATGCAGACACACATGCAGACACACATGCAGACTCACATGCAGACACACATGCAGACACACATGCAGACTCACATGCAGACACACATGCAGACACACATGCAGACTCACATGCAGACACACATGCAGACACACATGCAGACTCACATGCAGACACACATGCAGACACACATGCAGACTCACATGCAGACACACATGCAGACACACATGCAGACTCACATGCAGACACACATGCAGACACACATGCAGACTCACATGCAGACACACATGCAGACACACATGCAGACTCACATGCAGACACACATGCAGACACACATGCAGACTCACATGCAGACACACATGCAGACACACATGCAGACACACATGCAGACACACATGCAGACACACATGCAGACACACATGCAGACACACATGCAGACACACATGCAGACTCACATGCAGACACACATGCAGACACACATGCAGACTCACATGCAGACACACATGCAGACTCACATGCAGACACACATGCAGACACACATGCAGACTCACATGCAGACACACATGCAGACACACATGCAGACACACATGCAGACTCACATGCAGACACACATGCAGACACACATGCAGACTCACATGCAGACACACATGCAGACACACATGCAGACACACATGCAGACACACATGCAGACACACATGCAGACACACATGCAGACACACATGCAGACACACATGCAGACACACATGCAGACACACATGCAGACACACATGCAGACACACATGCAGACACACATGCAGACACACATGCAGACTCACATGCAGACACACATGCAGACACACATGCAGACACACATGCAGACTCACATGCAGACACACATGCAGACACACATGCAGACACACATGCAGACTCACATGCAGACACACATGCAGACACACATGCAGACACACATGCAGACACACATGCAGACACACATGCAGACACACATGCAGACTCACATGCAGACACACATGCAGACACACATGCAGACACACATGCAGACTCACATGCAGACACACATGCAGACACACATGCAGACACACATGCAGACACACATGCAGACACACATGCAGACACACATGCAGACACACATGCAGACACACATGCAGACACACATGCAGACACACATGCAGACACACATGCAGACACACATGCAGACACACATGCAGACACACATGCAGACACACATGCAGACACACATGCAGACACACATGCAGACACACATGCAGACACACATGCAGACACACATGCAGACACACATGCAGACACACATGCAGACACACATGCAGACACACATGCAGACACACATGCAGACACACATGCAGACACACATGCAGACACACATGCAGACACACATGCAGACACACATGCAGACACACATGCAGACACACATGCA